GAGGATCTTGGCTCTCCTGATCTTTTATACTCCATTGCTAGTGGTGCTACAATTCTGTTGAGACATGAAAGTTCTTTTCGCATATATAAGAATGTACTGGGGTCCAATAATTCAAAATATTTAAATCTCAAAATTTAAAAAAGCTTTATATTTGAATGTCTGCATTCACTTATGGAAACTTAAGGGGTAACTTGAAGTCAGTACTCTCTTTCAATCCAATCTACTTCCCAAGATTGAAGCCAAACAATGATGATTTAATTGTAAAATTTTAAGGAGAGATATGTTGGTTACTAAAATCTAATGCTCTCCACATCCTGCTTCTCTCCCTAGTCTGAAATGTTATGTACACAATATAAGCTTTCCTCCTTTTACTACAGTGGCTACCACAGTGCCCTTTGTACAGCTCTGAAACTGTGAAGAGGCAGACTGAAACTGAATTTTGTAAAATCCAGAATTGGAACACAGCAGGTTGCTGTACGCTCATCTGCTCTACCCCAAGGAAACTGAAACCTTGCCCAGTTTGATAATGTCTCCAATTCATTACATAAGATAAGAGTTATGGCCTTCCAGATATTGGATTCCAGCTCCAAGCAGTCACATCCAGCTTAGTCATTAATGGGAGAGTCAGGGAACTCTAGTAGGCAGCCATGGATTCCTTCAATAACAGATCATACTCTGCCATCAGCAGGTGCCCTGTTTGGAGCTAGTGATCATGAATTCCAACTCTTAGTCCATTTTTCTTCAACCAAAAAATCTTAAGATATTTTGAAATGATAATGCTCATAATTCCTCTTCAACATAGCTGACGAACTTGCTATCTTGGCACAAAGAAAGATGTAATCCCATCAGCGTATTTGAAAAGCACCCATTTAGGGAAGGAGGACTTAGAAAATAGATAAGCATTCAGGTTTAGAATGTAAACTGTCCCATGAAATTAGAAATAGCTAGATCAAACCTGAAATAATGCCATAATGTAAGCTTTTATCTTACCAATGTAATACAAGAAGGAATAAAACAAAAAGCAACATGAATGATAATGATAAACTTCATATTTGGAATTGCATTTATATTTCTTTATTCATGTAATAAAACTCTAGAGATGGGAGATCAAAATCAAGGGTGGTCACCAGGCCACTTTGTTCTGGACTTATAACTTTAAAATCTGTTATTTTATCAAAACTTTTAGTATGGAGAGTTTAGGTTATGTTTAAATAGCTATTGGAAAAAAATGACTAATTTCATATATTCTCCCTCATTTCTTGCTTAGTCAACTGATACTGCAGACATTGTTTCATGCCTGGTTTCTGAGATTTATTTATATAAAGTAGTCCCGGTGGTGGTAGGAGCACTCGGGGCCGTGACTCCTAAGCTGGGAGTATGGCTCCAACAGATCCCAGGAACAACATCCGAGCTCTCTGTCCAGAAGACTGCAGTGCTAGGAACAGCCAAGAGACTGCGCAGAAGCCTCAAACTCCCAGGCCTCTGGTAGAGGACCCGAGATTG